TTTTCTGTGCACAAATACGTTAACAAAAACTGAGATTTAGATGAGATCAGTTTCCAGGATCTTTTCTAACCTGTCCATGAGGTAAACACTGACTCCAGTCCCACAGCCCAGCTTCTTCATGAAAGGTGAAGCAGGGATGGTGATCGGAGTCCCACCTCCACTGCTCCCAGAACTCCTCACCCGGCTTTGAATCGGGGTTTTAAACGCTCTGTCCTCATTTAGAGAAGCCATTCTGCTCAAGAAAACATAAAAAAATAATTAGAAACAAACGTATTTTCATATTTTTAACGTTCTTACCCGATTAAGCAGTGTGACAGGCGCCCAATTCACAGTCCTGGATTAACAGATTAGCTTAATTTTAAAATCTGTATAGCAATATCAGTGTTTTTGAATCTGGACTGGAATATTTCATTAAATATGGATTATTTCTAAGATTAATATGTGATTTTTTTCAGATACTGTTTGTAAATTTTGCTGATTTATCTGATCATTTCCCCAAAAAGGAGATAAAAGTAGTAAAAGTACTCTTAAGAGTATATAAAAGCAAAAATACAACTTTCTTTTCGGATTTTTGTTTTCCAGACTTCAAAATACGCATTAAAAAGTCCAGAAACAAAAACTTTTATCACCCAGATGCAACTTTCCCTTTATTTACCCAGGTCTGATTTAAAATCTCGAAGTAGTCCAATGAGACAGAAAAAGAAATGTTACAAGTATAAACAGCAGAATAAAAGTATGAAGTATTTTATGGCGTACAGATTCTCTAAATTGCTGTATTTATAAATCTTAACGTACGAAACCAAAAAATGCCGAAACTTGAATGGAGGCTGGCACATTCAAGAAAAAAGCGTAAAATACTTTCGCGAACTGTCAAAATTATTCTTGAGCAGCGTCAAAATATCCTTTTATTAAAAGCTACAAGCGCAACAAACACTAGAAACTTTTTTTTTCCTGTAACAATATAGCATCATTAAGTAAACGTTTAAAACTAAGCGAAGAAAAAAAACAACCTTAAAATGCTGCTAGTTCTCGGCGTTTCGTCAGTTTATCGCTTAAATACATTATTGAAGTTAATGCAGAAGCAGTATAACAAACTAAATCTTCATTTTGAGATCTAATAATTAGCATTTGGTTCAGTAAATTTAAAGTTACCTCAGGTTCTTTCTCCTGGTAAGAGCAAAACATCCGGTGTCCAACCGCGCCGCACATTCAAACTAACGGCTGTTGTCGGTATGGCCGCCGAGGAGGGACAAAATAGTCAACATTTCTGAAACGCTTTCCAGGAGCAGTTTGTTTGTCAGTGTTTTTAAATTTTATTTATTTTAGAAGCACTGTGAATATCAGATGCTTATTGTAAACATACTTAATGAAGAAAAAGGATTAAATAAATGAGAGGAAAATAATTGTAATTCAAGCTTGCACCAGCAGAGGGCGGTCATGATTTCGATTATTATTATTATTATTATTATTTACTTTGATGTGGATTTATTAGACAGGTGTATTTGACAGTTTGAAAAGACTCAATTATTTGAACTGAGTCTGAACTGAAATCTCAATGTGGATCATTATTTCAGAGCCCACAGGCAAATAAAACCAATGCGGATTATTTTATCCAAACATATTGAGACATTTTTCAAAGATTTTTCATTAGTTGAAAGCAAATTACAGAATTCATATCTTAAAGTCATTAGAAAACATGCTGGTCAGGATCCTCCATATACTTCCTGTCCACTTCTACTTCGTGGTGTGCGCCAGGAGTAACATCCGGTTGTTGATCATGTGATCCACGTGACTTGAAAAAAAGTGTTTCCATTGCAGTTTTGTGAAATAAACCAATTTATTTTGTTTATCATTAACACGGGGGAAAAAAGTATTTTGGAAATTGTAGTGTTTCAATTAAGCAAATTAATTTTAAAAATATCAACTTGCGCAATTATATGGGCAATGGACAGTTTTTTGTAATCAGGCACTGATTTTTGATCAAAAATCTGTTTGCATCCATTTTTAGCTTGCTCTTTTTACCACTTGTGAGTTGTAAAGTTCTTGGTTTAACTATTTGCACTGTTCTTTAAAACTGTTCAAATCGGAATTTTGGAAATAAATCTAATAAATTTGCTCCTTCACCCTTATGTACCTGCTTCATAACCAGCATCATTGGAAGTGAGTTCTGGTTTGTTTACTGTCTCTCCACACACTGCAGAAAACTGCAGCTCAGTCTGCTCATTGTGTGAAAGTAGAACTGTGTTACTATGAGGAAGAGGAGCAGGAATGTGGCCTGATGACAAATGGACATGGAAGGGAAAGACTGGGACTTTTTCTCCCAGTTCCTTTTCCCCTCGAAGCAAAATGAGATCATATTTGTTAGCGCTGAAGCCACATGCTGTGGAGAGTATTAAAAGACCTTCTATGTTCAGACACCAGAGAAATGGTGATCATTTTACATTAAATATAGCTGGCCTCTGGAAACACTTTTATCCACAACTTTATTGTTGGAAAATAAAAATATATTAATTATACAGAATTCATATCTTAAATCTGCTTTTTGTTGTAGCTCGTTGTTCTGCAGTAAAAGTGCAGCTAAAGTCTCTTTCTTATGAAAACATGTTCAAGTTTAACCTCATAGTTTTCTAATCTTATTAATAATATTTTCAAATGTTTCTTTTAATTTTTGGTGCTTTTCCCTTCAGTTTCAGTCAAATAACTATTTTTATTTTATGATAATATAAAGTTTCTTCCTCATACAGGGTTTGGTTAGACAGTTTTATAGGCCTGACTGCAGTTTTGTTGCACGTGCAGCACAAATGCTTTTATGGTCTAACAAACTATCACTTTGATATTTCAAATATAAACAAACTTTCCACAGGATAACTGAAACCATCTCACCAAAGGTCAAGTCCACTCCACACTACATGCACATAACAATCAGTTGATTTTTCTTTCTGGGTCCACTGACATGTGGAAACGTTCATGCATGTGATTTTTGGTCAATGAACACTTCCACATGTTTCAGCTCTCATGATTCAGCAAACAACTCCGACCCTTAAAAACATAAACGTCCAAATCTTCTTCCAGTTCTGACATCTTTAAGAGCCTGTTTTAAGAAGAAACACTTGTTTGAGCAAATCTCATTTTTATGTCACCTTTGTTTCAGCAAAACACAACATGATGTGACATTTTTATTTACTTTTGATTAACTTCCCCACAAACATTAAAGAAAAAACACATTTTACCCAGATACCTATTTACAAACATACTCAAATTACACATTTAAGTGGTGAAATTTTACTTTTCTTTAAATCTTGCTCAGATTGCATTGATAAAGCAAACTTTTTTCAGAGAATGCTGTGAAATTGTGAAACAGTCAAAAGAACTGGAGATTAATTTTCCAGCCATGATAACAGGATTATTCAAAACCTGTTTTATAAAACCCAAGGTGTGTATGTTCACTACTTAGTGCTGTTCTATAAAATTACATCAAAATCCCATTTACATTAGTAAACTACCTTAAATGTGAACTTAAGATGCGTCTGTGTCGCTGCAGAGCACTGAATTTTCACCAATATGATCTTGTTTTTCAGCTCTCAGCTGAATGAAATTATTTTGTTTTTGACTTTATCGTCACAAAATCTGTAACTGATCTTAAAAAAAAATTCAGCAAGGCAAGATAATTTTTCAAATCAGTGTTGAAATCCATCACTTTTCATTTTACATCTTTGTTTTCTGTTGTTGTGGTAAATAAATGAATATCAGTTTCCATTTGTCTCATTCGAAATTAGAAAGTAAGGATTGAAATGTTCATTAAAGCGAAAACTATTTGTGCAAATCTAAACAGAACTGCTCGAAGATTTAAAGGCAACATTGCTAATTTGATCTCTTATTCTAAATTTATGTTCAGATACTTTCATGACGCAAGAGGAAAGTTTAGTGTTTTGTTTTTCTTTCAAAGATTAAAAACAGTAATAAATTCTGTCACTGTCAGCTGATGCATTTCAGATCCAGTTTTATTGCTTTAGTGCTGAGGAGACAGGTTCGTCCTCGCCTCCTTCTGGCTCACATGAGAACAAACTAAAACAATCTGTTGTATTGAGATTCTAGCTGATATTATTGCTCCAGATTATAAAGTATGTAACCCATTTTGTCCTTTAGTCAGCTGCTTTGGAATAAAAATGTTAGATTTTGTATTTAAATAGCACTGAAGCTAAAGCTATCTGCTTTTTCCTCATTTCTGCTCTTATGGGTTCAGCCAATCAGCGACATAGAAAAAGAAAGGCTCTCTCTGATTGGATGCTTTGCAAACGCCAACCAATAGCGTGTTGAGTAGCATTATACTTGGGTATTTCAGCTTCCCATATCAATTTTCTTTTGAATATATTTCATATGCTCAACTAAAAGAAGAATCCGCGAAAACTAGACCGCAAATAGTCAGATATCTGCTGTATATCGGTTCGTTTGTTAAAGCTCCAGGCTTTTTCATAGCCACATTTTTTTTTTAAGAGAAAGGCGATCAAATTATTTCAACAATTTGGTACGCATATAAAAATGTTGCTTGTAAATTTAAAGTGAGTAATTTTCTAAATACAAATATATAACACAAAAAAATTACATTTGCTTAAAACACAAAATTGTTAAAAAAATACATATTGATTCTTACAGGGATGATGTCAACTGTTGCACTTATTTAGTGTTATTCCGATGACATAACCATGTGGAATAACTGCCGCCACTTTAATTGCTAGGTAACAGCCTGGACTCAACTGGGGTTGCTAGGTAACGGCCTGGACTCAACTGGGGTTGCTAGGTAACGGCCTTGACTCAACTGGGGTTGCTAGGTAACGGCGCAGAGCCTGTTGATTGTGACTCAACATTCAGGAGGTTTTTTTGAAAAGGCTCAGTTTTACTGTAAAAAAAAAAAAGACAGTGTTTTATTTTAAGCACTTTGTTTTTAGAAGCAGTTGAGACTCAAATGGAAGAACAAAACACAACAGGTCATTTCTAAAAAGTAATGTTTGCAAAACAAACACTTTATTTCACCAGTTTGCTACAATTTGCCTCCTGTTGCAGGATCTCTATTTAAAACACAGACTTTGACAAACAGAGCTGCTGTTTCTGATTGCTACCAGAACAAAAAGTAAAATTAAAATCCAATATTTCATGTGTTGCACACAAACTTTTAAAGAAAAAAAAAATAGGTATAATATATATCTTTGGAGCAATGTGAGGTTTTCGAATTTGCCAAATTTCAAGGCGAGCAAGAATCAGGTTCAAATTCCTGCATAAGTTTCCTCCCAATCAGCTCAAGAACCACATGGGAGGTGGCTCGGCGTTTCGGATTTTCGATCAGCCATGAAGATGATATCCAACTGAGAGAAATACAAACTGCTGAAGCAGATTACTGTGGTTTGTCTGGAGTGAGAAGTGACGCTAAAGCAAGCCAACGTTTGTTAGATTCACAGCCCAACCATTATAAGCCAGGCAAGGCAGGCGTCCATCCATCTGTTTATACTCATCTGCTCTTTCTTATTATCATCTGTTAACCGGAGTTACCGTTAACCCTTAAGAGTATAAAAATGCAGTTGACATTTATTTACTGGATAGAATATGAAACCCACATTTGTGGATTTAAGGTATTAGAATAGAAGAAAAAAAAAAGCATAGTTTCTAAATTTCTTTTATTAATAAAAATCTGTAAACAGCAGTGTACATTTTAATTCACCCCCTGCAACTCTGATACCCCTAAATTAAAGTACAGTGCCACCACTTGCCTTCAGAAGTCACCTAAATTGTAAATACAGTGGGATATTTTTGCAAGGCACTGCATATTAGCAAAAATGTATTCTGTATACACAGTATATGGAGATATTAACTAAATGAGGTTCCACTAAATAAATCCCAGTAAACAGGAGATTAGATCTTGAGAGACTGAAACAAACAAACAGCAAAAACAGTGCAAGTTATCCATATTTTCCGTTCAGATTTACTTGGATTGTTTTTAAAGTGGTCATGGCCGACAGGTTTAATGAAAACCTTTTTGATATTATTCTTTTATCCACCACAAGTTTCTTGTTTCTTTTTTTAAAATAACACACAGCAGTGTTCATAATTATATAATTATGACCACAAATGAGTTAAAAAAGCATCCAGTTTCCATACAAATATTTAAAATACCTTTAAAAAGTCTGGAAAGCAATTAGATCAAGACCACTTTAAACGATTAAATAAATGTCAGCCTTTTTGAAAACTATTATTTTAAATGACCTCAATAAAAACTAAACTGAAAGGAGGAAGATTATTGTTTTTTTTTCTGCATGCTTTGAAGCGTCTTTTGACCTTCAAACTTTAAGTGTTATACAAGGTTGAAAGGTAAGAAAGTACGTAAATCCATCACACTCTGTAAAAGCCCTTTGCACATTTTGCTGGAAGGAGCAGCTGCTGCTGAAGGAAAGTCAAATCACTGACAGCCTGTTTTTCCTCATCCTTGTTTTTAGGTGGGTAAAATGATTTGTGAAAGTCCCTCTTCAGTCAAAATATCCAGAACTGAGATTCAGTTTCTCTTCTACTTATACGGTAAGCAGAAGGAATCAAACAGCCATGCAATCCGTGCTCTGCAAGTGCAGGTCATGAAAAATAACACGGTTCTTCAGTTTGTGTACTTCTCATAAACCCATAAAAGTTCATAAAAAAATGAGTTTTTATCTGGTTAGGTGGCACTTTTTGGTGGTAAGTGAGCAACAATACTGATAAAAAGGCACTCCTTGTAAAAGAAAAAGTGGTATAAAAAAAAACAACACGACATCAATGATCCTGCATGTTCACACTGCACAGGTTACGCCGGCGTCCTCAACATGGCCGCAGTTCGTTTTGGCCCATCCGGAAAACTTACACTGCTGGATGGTTACTTCAGTCCCAATGCAAGCAACGTCGTCCATCCAGATCACACCAGTACCTGCGTAGAAAGAGCATTAAAAGTGGATCATATTCAGAGATTGTCTGAAAATTAAACCAAAAGAAAGACAAGAAATGAAAGGAAAATAAATCATATCCAAAAATTACTTGTGCTAGCCATAATACACCAATCGTAAACATTAGTTCTAACACTAAAGCACCAAATTGAACCATTTTGATATCCACATTTGACAAACTGTAATGTTTATTGCTTACTTCAGAATTGGTTACTGTATTGTCTTTATGCTGCAAAGCATTTTAAACTGCCTTGTTGCTGAAACATGCCATTGAGAACAACACGCAAAAACTAAAAAAATTCAACACACATGTCAAACTTTATCAAACTGAAAGTTCACAAAGCAGCCAAATAAATTGGAGCTTTAGCATAAATGCTACAGTGCCGAACAAAAAAATTAGCTCTGCTATTAGAGGATTAGCGAAAGTTTGCCAACCACTGGAAATATCAATAAAAACCAACAGTTTAAACAAAAAAGGCCAGGTGATGACTAATTCATGCATCTCTAAATAAAACCAAATAAAAACCAGTTATGTGATGATGTTTCTATCCACCCCAAATCTGAAACAAACTTCCAGAAAACTGCAAAACAGCTGAAACGTTGACTTCCCTTCAATCTACCTGTTCAGAGTTGCTTTCTACCCAAAACCACTGGAACATTGACCAACATATTTAAAGGGAATTGATGATTTTGATGGACAAAATATCACGTTTCTGGTTTCTCAAAGGGTGACTGTCAACGTTTTTATTTATTTTTATTTTTACACTTTTCTAATGTAAAGCACTTTGAATTGCCTTATTTCTGAAATGTGCTATGAAAACAAACAAATGATTAACAAATTTTAATAATAAATGTTTTCAACAACTATAAGGTGTTGGAAGCAAATTATTCAATAGAAAACTGATACAATTTACTAAAAAAAACAATTATCTTTGAATTTTGTAATAGAGACAGTAAATTCTTTTACAGTCTATACTGTAAAAATCACATTTATAGAGTATTAAAACTGACACATTTAAAAATAAAAGCAGAAATCTATATTTTTTGTTTTTCCTTTTCCTTAAATGTGTTTTTGTCAAGAAATAGAAACATTTTATTTAGCCTTTTACACATGTGCTTTTGTAAAATAAAATTACATATGTGTTTTTCCTTTTCTTTATACATGCATTTTTGTCAATAAATGTATATGTTTGATTTGGTCTTTTTAATGCAGCAATGACAAAATAGCAAACGCTTGTATAAGGAAAAGGCAAAACAAAATATATACATTGATGAAAAACTCATGTGTAAGGAAAAGGGAAAACTAAAAAATACAGATTTCTGCTTTTGTTTTTAATGATGTCAGTGTTGGTCCTCCATACAGATTATAATCTACCCGGTATTAAACAGTTCCAGTTGTCAAGCCAGTATTTATGGCTACATTGTTTTCTTCAGAGTTTGGAGGTTTCAAAACACCATGTGAGCTTTGTGAGAAAGACAAAATCAATACAGATTTGATCACTTGAAATCACCATGTGTTGAGTTTTTTCAGGATGGCAATGACGCAAGTTTTTCTGGAAAGTGAACATTTGCAGGTTGCAAGTGACGGCGCAGCTGACAGCCCAGCTGTTCTCCTGCTGCAACCTTCGAGGATTTGGAAATAAACATTTATCGTGCATTTTTTTGTTGTTGTTTTTGTTTTGCATGCTGATGTAACTTTTTGTTCACACCAGGTTTGTGTCAGTTCTTCCAGAAAAGAAGTGAGGGACAACCAAAACACGGCGAGGGATTTTGTTTGTTTTAGGGGAACACCAGGGAGAGATTTGGGAGATTTGTGTAACGATGCAAAAAGAACATTGTTGTCAACAGAAAATCCACTAATCAAACCATATTTGAAACGGGGATTTTAAAATAAAAATGTCTAACACACAAATTCTGGCTTCTCTGCTGACAGACATTTATAATAATTTGTATGTTTCTGAGATTTGGGGCAAATCCATTCATCTTCTCATCACTCTATTTCATAAGCACATCTATTAAATTGCTTGTTAACACCAATGGTAAATTATCCAATCGCCTGCCGGCTGCTCAAAGTGTTAATTGGTTTGATGATCCAACACCATAACAAGTCGTCCATCTTTTTTTAGTGTTTAGTGTTGACAAACAGCTGACTCATCAGAAAAGTTCCAGAGAAAATGTGATTTTCTGCCTGTGTTAAATTGAATCCAGTTGTTTTCATGCGAAGGGAGTCCCTTGGAAGAAGAAAATGTTTTCTTTCTGACTTTTTCAGGTCAGAACTCACTGAACAGACACCCTGGATGATGTAAGGCTAAACAATGAATGACAGAGAGACAATAGATGTCACCACCGAGACTATAGTGATGACATCTGGATCACATATTCTTTCCATTAAAACTTTAATATTAAAGCCTGATGCAGTCAGGGCGCTGGTTAAGTAATACGACTCAACGGCAAAAACAGAAGAGTTTATAAAAATCAGTCTTTTAAAAGGTTTCTCCATATGATGTGATTTACAACATTTTGTCATAAACAATTATATTTTATTGGTATTTTACGAGGTAGACTAATATACGGAACAGGATTAGGGACACGGAAAAGCAATTATTTTGATTTTTTTCCTGACTTTAGACTCAGAATGCACTGAAGGTTGTTCTTTTTACACCTAAAACTTGTATAATTTGCTCCTCCTGACGCCAAGGGAATCAAAATATTAACTTCTAACACATTTTAACTATTAAATAGAAAAGACATAGGGTAGATTCTTGGACGTTAGCTTTAAAAATATCACATTTAGGACATTTTTATCCTTAAATTATGCTTTTATAAACAGTTCAAACATTTAAAAACCCACCCAGCTGGTTTTTGGCAATAAATTCATGTTCATGGAAAGTGAAGCGTTTCAAATTACTGGAAGATTATTGGTCGGCTACCGTTACCTAGCAACCCAACCGGAGTTCCACTTGGATTTAAAGAGACGGAGGCCCTAAAAAAGCTCATTCTGAAAGGACAAACAGACTAAAATCTCATTGCCTCACAATGACTGAATATGTTTGTTGAGCCCAAACACTGATCCCAATTTGTCATTTTGTCCCAGAGTAAAAGTTTTGATATATTTCAAGAACAGATTAATCGCATTAAAAGTTCAAAAAGCATCAAGAAAACATCAGTATTGGTTACGTACCCTGTCCAAAACGGCCGGTCTTATGGACCTCCGTTGCTTCTCTGTATCCCAGCATCCGACAGACGACGTCTCCATCCTTTTTGTCCCAGACGTCGTCACACACCGTCCCCCATCGGCTCTCGTGAAACACCTCCACGCGTCCCTCATGGGGACCCGACCCGTTCACCAAACGCACCAGAGCCTCCTGGACTGCAGAACAACGTGCACACAAACAAATGTTGTGAAAATCTGCATGCGTTTCTCTGCTGCTCCAGATTTGCATCCTCATTGCAGGCAGTCAGTGGTATTCATTCCAGTGATTCTGTATTGAAAAACTGTTTTCATTTGCTGGCTTTGAACTCACAGATTATTGTATTTATTAAGTTTATGAGTTTAATCAAGACGTTATTCAAACTGATATGAAATGTTGAGGTAAAGGATTTTTAATGACGCACGGAGAACATATTTTTCTGCCAACCAAAGACATTCTGTTGCCCAAAAATAGCAATAAATAAAATTTGTTCTGCGTGTTCAAGTTTTGTACTGCAAGTATTTTCTTTGACAAGCGTCACAATCTGGCAGTAAACTCTTTCTGAAGGTCTATAAAATTGATATCTTCTTCGCAATATATAAGCATTTAAAAATAAAATATGTAAGCTAGGAAAGTAAGTCAGGAAATATATTGTTCTATAACAAGAAACTTTAAAGAACCCAAGAAATCGAAGTATATGGTAGGAATTTAAAGCATAACATAAAATACATATTAAATGTTTCCAAGCAGAGAAAATTTCTCGTTTTAAGAAGACAAGTTTTATATCCTGTCATAAATAAATACAATTCTCTGATGGATTGTAAGAAAATATTCTACAGAGTTTTCAGAATAGCTTCTGAGACATTTCTGTGTCTTTTTCCTGCAAAATATATTCCTTCCTCTATAAAACCCCAAGAAAATACATGACATTTTGAGTGTGTGATGTGAAAAATTGTGGTTTGGATACTTTTACAAAACGTGGGTCGATGTGTTAGAATTTGCTGAGTGGATCTAAATCAGGAATTTGTGAAACTATGAACAGCTGCACTCATAGTTGACTTGATTTAGTGTGGAGAGGAAATGAGAAAGCGAGGTAAACAGTCACACACACACGAACAAACACACAGTTTCATCATTACAGGATGTTCATTATTGAATCTGCTGACAAAGTGCGACAGAGGAAAGTCAGATTCTCCACAGACACGGGATACGAGTCCCATCGGACCATCATAAATTTGTTTATCTCTCATTTATTCAGCCAAATACTCAACAATCACCAGGCTACCATAATCTAATATCTACCATGGCTTTATGCTGTTGTTTTTGCAGCATTTACTTGTTTTGTTACTTCCAGCACCAAGAAAATAAGAGCAGAAATTAAATCTGTCATTTAATATCTAAAAAGGAACTAAAAACAGGCGGAGTCAGTCGCACAAATCAAACTCTGGTCTGCCTGAAAACCTCGTCTCGGTTCGGTTGAAGTGAACTCTGGTGGAGTTTGAATAAATATGAGAACTTCAAAAGCAGGAAGTGGACTGTTCTGTATGGCATTCTGGGTAAATACGACCAAAACAAACATGCTAGCCCACTGTTAGCAGGAGAAATGACTCAAGGTTTTATACCAAAGACAAAAGAGAAATCCTACAACTGCTCAAATCTGATGCTACTCCATTTTTGTTTACATTTTGTGAAGAAGTGCCTCTTTTTCTTCAGTAGTTCTTTAGCGCCCCCACAAGCAAGGAGGGGAACAGGTGTTCTAATTAGTTTGGCTCTTTTCAGAGTGATAGCAAACCAAAACACCTGAAAATGTAACAAATGTTGCAATTCAAGTCCCCAATAAAACCAACATACTGGACTATCAGGTGTGAAAACGTCCTAAAGGACCCAAGAAATCCAAGTACTTGGTAGGAACTTAAAATACAACAGAAAACACATGCCAATATATCTATATCTTTTTGTGAAATATTTAAATCATTTCTCTGCATAACCAAGTATATATTTTAATATAAAATCTTTCTTCTATTAAACTCTTCACTTGCAACCACATGCACCAGGAGAAAAAAATAATATCAAAATATGCTAAAATCAAGAGGAAAATCATAACATTACTATCATAACAGAGCACGAGAATACATACATCAGCAAAACATTCAGAAAACTATGACAGACATAAAACCAGTTGGTCATAACATTTACTATAGCCATGATAAAAAACAGACGTTGGAGATTTAATCTTAAAAAATAAATACTTCTGAAAGCAATTATACCAAGCAAAAAAATAAAAACCTGCAGACCAACAGCACGCATGTTCACCTAGAAGCCCAAATAAAACTTCACCATAAAACACGAGCGTTACCTAATTTAGACACACCGAGCTTCCCAACTTCTCTGTTCAAGTTTGAATAATGAGGGATTTCATGGGATGTAAAAAATGTTTTTGCTCAGGAAAAGCTTGCTGAGCGCGCTCCAAGTGTTGATGGTCGTCCAGAGCGCTTTAAGCCCCAGAGGCCCAGCGAGCTGCAGCTAGCAGAACCAGGATAATGCCAGAGCATGCAGGAATCATATATTCCTAATGTTTATCTGGCATGCTGCAGGAGTTTGGGCTGGACGGGACTAAATGGCTTCAGGAGAACAGCTAACCACCTCCATCTGGTCATAAAGTCATGTTTTATTCAGAGTTTCATCTTCAGTGAGTCGTCTTTCCGTTTGTGGAGATGAGGTTGCTTCTAATGCTACATTTGACAACTTTTACGCTTTTTAACGTCACTTTGGGATAACTCTAAAATGAAATGTATTAGTTTACTAAGAGTTCCAGCATGAACATGATCTGCTGCTAACAACTGAAAAAATTGGACAAGCACTACTTTAACACATTTTTACTCAAGTAAAAGTAAAAAGTAGCCGTCCAGTAATTACTCAAGAAGCAGTAAGAACATATCTGTTAAAAATGCTACTCAATACATCTGATTTAATATTTAAAAATAATGTTATCAGACAGATAAAACGCAACATTACGTCCAAATCATGATAACTAAAAGAATAAAATTTTTAAAAATTAGTACAAATGAATGAGATTACTTAATAGATTCACACATCACTTTTCCCAGTCATAAGAAAGAAAACTGTGGAACTAATACTTAAAATTGGTAATGCAAATATACTGTATATCAGTATATTTGCATTAGTGTGGCCCGTGGGCCATTTCTGGCCTTTGGACAAATTTTTTTGGTGCCCAACAAACAGCAATTAAATAAACTTTATATTTTTAATCAGGACAAAAACATTTAGAACATAATGTTGAGTAAAGTATTAATCTTTTTACAACCAAACTTTTACAATAAGTAGAATCACGTTTATCCGGACACTTTGACCAAAAAGCTGATGTAAATAAGCTTTTGTCTAATTTATTAAATTTGGCTAAATGTAACAAGCGTATTTTTTTTTAAGAAAGTGACTCTAATCCTCTTCTTAAAACTGAGATTAAATTTGTTAAAGCCTACAAGAAATTGAAAACTAGACAACTTTCTTTTAACACTGCAAATGTTCAAAATCCTTTTTTAGATTTTGGAAATAGAATAAATGTTTTTCTACAAAGTTTTTTTTTTTTTAAATCGACAGCCTTCAACTTAAAAGCTGCATCATATGAACTTCTTTGTATTGTTTCCTGCTGCTAGCATGTGCTTGTTCTAAATGAAAATTAACATTTTCTTCTTTGATTTCCAATTTTGACATCCAATGATTCACTTCCTGCTACAGAGCCCCCTGGTGGTTCAAGAAAAATCCACAGAAAAGCCGTGGGGAAAAAGTAGCGGCTTATAGTCCAAACAATACGGTAATACAAAAATAAATGCACAAAAAATATCTGATTATTTTATTTGCTCGATTTTATAAAAATGATACTCAAATAAAACTGCTGCTAAAAATTTTTTTTTTTCCCAAAAACTGTAAATGTAAAAACGCCTCCGCTGTTCAAACGGTTGATTAAACATTAAATCCATGAAATGGCTGAGATCAGTTATCGATCTGCCAGATGGAGCCTCTTCTGTGAAATGTCAGCTGTCAGAAAAAAAGAAAAATGCAAAGCAAAAAAGAGTGTTTTGTTCCACACATGGCGAATAATCCTTGTAAGGAGAAATATTGGGCTTCAGTCTCTGTTTCTAATGTTTGTTAACTTCATTCTGCAAATCAAACGCACTCCTACAGGTCTCTTTCTGAGTAATCCAATCAGCCTCTGGGAAACTTCAGGGAGATTCATTCATCATGAAACGATTACCTTGTGTTTACCGACTCCATAAGCCAATATTTAAGAACTTAATATAAAACAGAGCTTTATTTCCATGGTTGAGTAACAAAGCAATAACAATGTTAGCAATCTGCAGTTTCAAGAAAATACCACTTCCTCCTCTTCAAAGATTTGTGCAGGAATTGTTTTAAAAACACATTTAAAAGCTTCACATTAGACATATAAGAGTCTAATGTAAATGTCAGAAATTGAATTTATATACAATAGTTCACAAAACTATACAGGTCTGTTTAAGTGTCAGGTTTCTGTAATGTACAGTGTGAGGCTCTGATAAATCACAAATCAAAAACCTTTTGACATTTATTCTGGATAATTAAACTGAAAAAGAGGGTGATTTGTTTAAGCAAAAATAAAACCTAATTATGCAAAAAAGAGAAGAATAGAGAATGATTGAGTGGAAAATATGTAGAATAATGAGGATATTGCAGCATTTCTCCAAATTTTATGAAAAGTTGTGTTCTAGTATTATAAGAGAACACAGTTATTAGTTTAAAATAGTTTTACTTTTCTAAAAACCTTTCTGTGATTAAATAGAACGATAAAATAGCTTCTTGAGGTAGTTTGAAACACAACATAACAAAAACATTTAGCTTCTTTTTCCTGCTTATTTACTTGTCTGCAAAGTCAAGCTATAGTTTCCTGTAATCTTTTAAAAACTGATTACAGAAACTCTAAAATACCCACAAATTTTTACAGTGAAAAAGCCGTGCAAACAATAAAAACAACCAGAATGAAAGAAAGAGTTAGTGGAGAATTTAAAACTCTGGAATGTGAGATGGAGATTTTTAAAAATTCAGGTTTGAGGTATTGAGTTTTTCAGCAGCTCGTCATCATTTGATCCTTTCAGTTTCATAATGTTCTGTGAAACAGGCTGATTTTATATTAACGTCCAACACGTGTGAATCAACTCAAGCGCTTTCTCAGGTAAAATTCATGCTTTGAAGTGTAAAAAGATCCAACTGAAGAATGCAATAATAAGTCTCCCATATGAGAGTCGTGACAGAAAAACGCAGGACGTTGTTACTTGATATTTCTTGCTGCCTACTGCATGCAGACTCGGTCCATTTCTCTTTTTGTGAAACCTCAAACACGCGCGTCTTGTTAATGACGTGAGGAGAGAACTGATCTCTGACGGTTCATGTGGCTGAAAGATCAGGACCTTCGGACGCGAGCGCCGCCCCACGACACATGCAGGACATGCAGGACATGCAGCACATGCAGGACATGCAGGACATGCAGGACATGCAGGACATGCAGGACATGCAGCACATGCAGGACATGCAGGACATGCAGGACATGCAGCACATGCAGGACATGCAGGACATGCAGCACATGCAGGACATGCAGGACATGCAGCACATGCAGGACATGCAGGACATGCAGGACATGCAGCACATGCAGGACATGCAGGACATGCAGGACATGCAGGATATGCAGGACATGCAGGACATGCAGCACATGCAGCACATGCAGGACATGCAGGACATGCAGCACATGCAGCACATGCAGGATATGCAGGACATGCAGCACATGCAGGACATGCAGCACATGCAGGACATGCAGGACATGCAGCACATGCAGGACATGCAACACATGCAGCACAGCTGCGATGATGTAACGAAGGAGACAATATCTGAAGGGAGAGAGGGGAAAAAAGCTGCGCCACAGCTACGTCCAGCGAGAAGTTGATTTATGGCATCTGCACATACTTAATGGTTCTCAAATTTTATCCATTAAAACACGCAGTCCATCATAATCTCCTTTAAATTGAGTACTGAAAAGAAAAACAGAATGGTTGCTATGGAAACGTGGCGACTCCGACAAGATATTTAGATTTTTTATCTGCCTTCACGTCTTTCTCACTGTGGAAGGTTACGAGATAAACTTGGGTCTTTCTGGAGCTGTGTTTGTCAAAGAAACAAATATTTAAAGTGTCAAAAAACACTTAAAACAAGGCAGATACAGGCTTTTCCACTTGGGTTGCTAGGCAACGGACTCCGCTAGGCTGGGGTTGCTAGGTAACGGACTCCTCTAGGCTGGGGTTGCTAGGTAACGGACTCCGCTAGGCTGGGGTTGCTAGGTAACGACGCAGTGTAACTCAATAATTGATAGTTTTTAACTAAAAAACGTTTTGCCAGAAAAAGGCTGGACGTTTTACTGTCATGGCTGTTGAGAACCAAATGACAAAAAAGTGCAAAAAACAATGAGCTGTTCTCTTTAACGTGGAAACGGCTCGTTTTGAAGAAAAAAACGAGAGAAAAAGTTTTTGTGCGAGGATGAGGTTGTTTTTCAGCTGTACCAAAATGAGCGCGTTTGTACAGGAATGGAAAACGTTTTTTACATCACGAATCATGTGATCAACACCTGGATGACGGAAAAGACGACGACAGGAAGTGGTAGGATGATGTGTTTTCATGACTTAGCCACCTGCAGTTTGATTTCTGTGTCCTCCTTAATGGAAAAAATGCAATTTGAAAAATTGTGGGGGTTTTTTTGTTGGTTATTTTTTACATTTACAGAATATCAACAAAGTTTTGTGCAAGTCTGTAATGGAAATGCAACTTCTGACCAACTTAAAAAGGAAAGCATAAATAAACAACAGAATGCTCCACGTATTTTGTGACACTGGATAAAAAAAATCTCATATTGAGAGTTGGATTTCTACCCTAGCAGGACGGTGAGCCCATTTCCACTAACAGCGGCGCTAATTGCTTGTTTAGCGCTTTTGCTAACTTTGAAAATGTTTAGTGAAAATAGCTTCCCTTAAATACATTTTCTGAATACATTTTAAATATCTGATTGTTTTATAAACTTTCAGTTAAATTAAGTTCAAGTTTTTTGGTTAAATTCTGTGAAGAATTTTTCTAGTTTATATTTATGCTCTTATTTTGAAGTTTATGATCCATTTCCTCTCCTCACTTTCTTCACTTATGAAACTTATGAACTTATCCTTTACCCAGAATGCATTGGTGTAGAACTACAGGTTGTAGTCCAGCTTAAAATATAAGTGGATCAACTAACAAAACACAAGAAATAAATCAGATATTAATAAACAGATATGGCAAGACCTTTCAAGCAGTAATAAAGCACTCAGAAGTGATATACAGATAAATTAAAACCAAACACCCATTTATATTTTAGCACTAAAGTATGAAGACGTGTAATGAAACCTGCTGGACGGTGAAGCAACCTCCATAAAGAAATAAAACCTAAACCACTTTAGCAGTTACTCAGCATATAACCGGCTATTTGAGGGTCCTGCTGTTTACATTCTGTCTGAAATTGTTTAAATTAAACTCCGGGCTCAACAAAAACGTCCACATAAAACATAAACTCACAATGATCCAATTTAGAAGCAAATATAACCTAAAACAGACTTTGAAGTAGCTTCTTTTTTTTTTTGCAACAGCAATAAGCAAAATTTTAATAAAATATCCCAAAGTGGAGTCAATTTTATTATTCCCCTAGATCTTCAAACTAGCATGATTTACTGAGTCTGCAGCAAACACTGGAGAGTCCATTACTGCCCCAGTGGGCGAAATAACGAAACCTCAGAGGGAGACTTGTCATTACAGAAGCGATGTAAACGTACTGGAAGATTAAAGCAACAATCTCTGTTTAACTGGGTGAACATCTGGATGCATTAGAGCCCATGCAGCTGCTGGAGATCCTCACTTACGCAACAGAGCTCAACTCTCAGCTACAGGGAATAAAACTGCTTCTATGTCTCCATACATTTTAATTTAAATATGTGTTTAAATTTAAATACATTGGAGAAGTTTTAGACAGACAAACATTTATTTTCAGCCAGTTCTCACTTGTTCGTTCTCCTCTGTCGCCTCGATCACCTTTCTCCCCTTTAAAGCCTCTATCTCCTCTGTCACCTGCAAACAATCACCAAAAATATCTGTAAATAACTTTAAAATGACAAGCAGAGAATAATTCAGCAATAGAAAACACTATACATTATGAAGACAAATCAACAAACGCCAAATAATACGGAAGAGTCGGCAATTTTTGAGCAACGTAGAACCTGTTTATCAGCTGAAAAAGCCATAAAATTTGCTGTACAATGATAAACAGACATATTAGTTCAGTCTTTAAAGGTTCTTTTTCTGCAATATTTTCTTTATTTGAAACCTTTTTCCTCTCCTTTAAGCTCTTTGGGATAATTTTACCAGAACCCATTTAAATAAGCAGTCCTGTAATTGAAAAAACAGGCGTGAAACGTAGAAATTAGAGGACTACGAATGTGTTTAATCTTCCCTTGGAGAGCTTTACCAGAAAAAGAGAAACCAGAAGAGAATTATATGGTAATATAGGGGCATAAATGTTGATCTATAGCGTAAAAAGTATAAAACCAAGGAGGAAAACTACCCTTCATTTTGGTTGTTGTAAATATATGACGCATTTACCCACAAATGTCACTGCAATCAACAGCTTGGAGGAAACTCATTTCTCATTTGTTTTTATTTAAAAATAAAATCCTTTGCCAAAATGGCAACGCCGTGTTGCTAGCTCTCCGCAGTGAGGCTCAAAACCACAAGGCTGCTCCTGCCATCAAACTATACTGGGATTAGCAAAAACTGGGAATTTTTCCCAGCTTTAAATTGATTTTCTTTTAAATCACAGCGCCGCGGTGTAGGTGTCAGCAGAGGTGGCCCTCAGGCCCACCAGCCATGTTTTACGGCCGGCGTTTGGTCCTACCAGGCTGACACACCCTGCCTGTGACGCGCAGACTCGTCAGGGCTGGATGCATTTTGACCACATCCTTAACAACTAAAGTATACAGCAGGGAAAACACAAACACACCATAAGCTACTGCTGAGCCACAAAACACAGACAGCCATCGGATTTAAGAGCCACCCAGTCGGTCTGGATTTCTGCGGCCCTGAAAGACATTTGAAATTAACGTGTTGCTGAAGCTTTTAAAACAGTATTTGAAATCTTCAGAAAACGTTATTAACACCAGTGATTTATTTAATGGTCCTACCATCTTAGGACCCGAAGAAGAACGATCTGGCGCCAGATCGTCAATAATATTAACAATCTATATTAAGTCAATAATTCCCTAATATAGATTTTTAAAAAAAAAAGAACTTATTCTACTTTTAATACATTTTTCAAATGTTATAGATTAACCCTCTAACCCTCTTCCAAACTGATTAGTTTTTACTGTCCAAGATTTTCATATTTTGTTGTAATATTCAGTCAAATTGTTTATTCAGTCAAATGATTTAAACCCAAAGAGTTGTTCTGAGGCGAGTCTCTCCATGTTTTCTTTAACAATCCTGGGTTAATGACTGCAACAAGAGGAGAATATCTTCTTCCTTTTTTTTCTGAGCACATCTTTAAATAGGTTTGAACCAATGTTCGCCAAATGTGTTTGGGAGAATACGAACTTCCAGATGTCTGTTTTGCTTCTGCAGCAGAAATACAAATGAAGGAATGCAAGTCGGCCGACGTTGCAGGATGCGGGCCAAAATGTAAAAGCTAAGCAGGAAACGTGCCAGAGGTTTATGATTCTGGATTATAATTTGTGTCATCCATTAGAGTCATTTTTAATTTAGATTAAGACATTTTTCCAAACCATGCTGCGTCTGGTCATGGTAGCTGGGTTTTTGGTGGGCATGTGCAGCAGTGCGCTAATGGAAGCCATCTCGCAATAAAAAGTTGCTGTGACTCAAATTTGCAACGTCAGGAATAACTACAAAGATTAAATTACAAACATATAAAACTGTTTGGGTAAAACAGAGTCAGTCCAGTAAAACCTTGTTGTTGACCAAGGTGTAATACTCCATTTGGTCCAGACCCGGACTGAGGTCAAACCCGTTAATGATCGGAGTCACATACAGAAAAACATATCAATTGCCCAAATTAAAGAACAGAAAGTTAAGGTCGAGAGTGGTTCTCATGGTTCAATCATGACTAAACGAAGGGAACAGAAAGGTTGTTTTTTTAAAAAGAGATCTTGGTGAACTGTGGGACTGAACATTGGACATTTCAATTAAACCAGCAGTGATTTCCAAAAGCTGTTGGCTGCACACACAAACACTAAAAAACACAAACTCTTCGACTATGGCTCCAACTTTTGGGAACACCTGCTGAACAGCTCAGCTGGCGATCCTGGATTTCAGGTCATCTCAGATTATGGGCTTTGCAGATTTTACGAAGCCAAAATAGACAAAAACGAGGCAGATAAGGTGCAGCAGGAATGATTTTCTATTGTCAAGTTTTAGATTAGATCATTGTAAGTTGGGTAAATATGAGAAAAACAATGGAATCCAGACAGAATGTTTAGAAACTAAAAATACAACCTGAATTTTGTACTATGCATAAAAAATATGACTCATCCTGGACTAATAAACACGCATAAAATTACCACAAAAGAAAATAACCAGCCTTAGAGGAAACCGGCTGCAATAAGTTCTTAAAACTTTCGTCTTCAAGGAAGTGTAATTCACAACTTTATTCATATAAATTTAACATTTGTGTTAATGTGTGATGTTTTTTCTATGATGAATATAAACACCTAATTATGTCGTAAAATAAAATATTAATCTGAACAAAACAGGACATTTAAGATTATTCACTGTTTCTGTTTTTATTGGAATGAAAAGCTCCCAAACAAGAGTTGTTTTAAATCCAGGAAAACTTTCACTGTAACATTTGAGTGATTATGAGACAGCTGAGCAGCAATCAGATTAGCAGCGGCAGCTGAAATAATGACAGTTTCCAATACTGAGCAGAAAACAGTGCACCTGTTGGGAACTGCAGAAGTGTTAACATTGTTTTAGTTTCTGCTAAATCCCAATAAAGTTTTATTTTACATCACGAAGCCATTTGAGAACTGTGTCCTGAATGTTTTTTGGAGGAAAGCCTGAAATGATTTGAAGGACGAATATGTTTCCCAATTTCAAGTGGGAGTTGTGAAACGTAGAGAAGGAGGATTTTTATTTTATTTTTTTTGTGAGGTTGTTAAAATGAAATCTAAAGTAGCTCCGTAGCTGTGGAGAAAAATAACCCATAAAATAGTCATGCAAGTTTACAACGTGTAACGTTATCCACATACAATCTTAAACGTGTAAAAACACAGTAGCAAATTTAATATAAACAAGTATAAAACCTAATTCTCACTTGCACTATAAAGTGGTTTTTACACTCAAAAGGCTTCCTTTAAGTACAAAATAAAGTTAAATGTTTCCAAGGTTGGCTTGGCATGAATTAAAGATTGGATTTTCAACACAAATTGGTTTGCAAGGTTTTAAGATTTCCTTCACAACCTTGGCGAGCCACAAACCACATACGTGCTGAGTTTAATTGCTGGTGAAAAGCTGGTTCATCTGGACTGCCAATGGATTCTTCTGGTACTTCTTTTCCTCGGTTAACGCTCAGTAAAATACAGTTACAACTCTCAGATCTGAAATTAAGTTAATGGGTTTTAAAAATGTCAACATTCTGTAAAAGCAGTTTTGGATTCAGACTGAAGGCATTAATAGTTTGTTTGTTTCTGTGGCCACGTTACACGAGCTCAACCCAAGACCCCAATAAAAAAGATTTGATTTATTTATGTCACTAATTCAATTATAAAAGTGGAACTGATCATATAACACATAATATACATCTTTTGCTACATTTGAAATGTTACGGCTTGCAGCTAAAATTCAGTTTTAGAAAATTTTAATGCTACTCAAGACTAATTAAAAAGTAAAATAATCACTAAAATGACCAGTGTACTTAATGAACATTAGAAAGCACTGTATCCAAGCACATTGATATAAAGTTGAGTGGAAGGAAAATATGTGGAAGTGTTTTGCAATAATCAATAAATCAATAAATCAATAAATCAATTAATTGGATTGTAACTTATAATGAGGTCAATAATTTCTGGCTGCAGGCTGGTTTGTTTTTGGCATCTCTCTCTTTCTACCAAACAGACTGGATGACATACCATCTGACGTGAATTTGCTCTTTAACCTCATTTTATTGTGAGAAATTCACAAAAACGTTATTTGTTACCTTCATCTTTGTTACTGCAAAACTGAGTCATGATTGATGGAATTAACATAAAAATATTACAGTGTAAAATTTTATCTGGTAATATATGTAACATCATATTAATAAAACCTTAATATGTTACCTAATAACGTTTTACACCAAAGATTTAGTTGCCAACTAAAATCAGAGGTCAGCATTTATGCTAAATAAATGTTATGGTCATTGAATAGTGAACAAAAGTGAGAAAAAAATGGTAAAATTCAATGTTCCCTTGCATATTTTGAAGCATTTTCAGTGGTTTTACAAAGTGGATCTCTGGCCAGAAGCTAAAGCTTTGCAGGAGGCCACAGCATGGAAACATTTGGGAATCCCCGGCTTAAAGGATGCAAGCTGCATGGGTTAAAAATCCAGTAATTGAAGTAAAAAGTGGGTGAAAGGTAAAATCTGAAGTGATTATATGCACTACATTGGCCAGCTAGAACAATAAACTTGTTCTAGCTAATAGAGATTAGATTATTGTTGTACCTTTAGGCCCAACTGGTCCGCGTTCACCCTTCTCTCCCCGTGGACCGTCGGCCCCAGGAGATCCTTGCACGCCTCGGGGGCCTTGCATTCCCTTCTCTCCTGCAAGTCCTGCAGCAAAAACAAACACAAAGCTGTAAACACACATTTAAACATGATCTACTATGCTTTCTTGAACAAGTTACGATAGCTTTATACCAGGGGTGTCCAAACTTTTTGCAACATTGGCCAGATTACCAAAGTTGAAAGCACTTTAAGTGTAAGTTTTTTGGGGGTTTTTTTTGTCTTGATGAGTTTCCTAACTTTTAGGGTAATTTTTTCAGTTTATTTAGTCTAGAAAATCTTTTAATTGATTCTCAGCAATGAAAATGAGAACTTTCTTCAAAAAGCACTTCTTCTACTAACCAAGTTTGATGCAATAACTGATGTTCCGTCGGCTAATTTTGAGTAAAACGTCACCAGATCTTAACAGCTCTACTTACCATAAAATTAAACGTAAAAGAAAACAGCTGTTCAAAGAAAAATGCTCCCTGCCTAACCATTTTTATTGAGGAAGACAAAATTTGTCATTTTACACTTGCATGTGAAAATGGCTGCAAACAAATGCACAATTATACAACTGCACATCTTTGAAAAGCTTTAGTAGAGCCTCCTGCACAACCAACAAGAATGCAGCAAGTTGTTTCTGGACTTTTCTATCTTCCAGCAGCCATTGTACATGCAGTGGGAAAACCAGCTGACCAGCCATGCTGGAGTTCTGCTTGGGTTGCGAAGTAACTGGGCTGGGCTTGAGTGGGGTTGCTAAGTAACGGCACAATGTCATTGCATTGGAAGGTTTTTGAAAGGGCAGAAGCCCAAAAACATTTGCTTATTGCCAGAAAATGGCTGGCTGTTTTTTTTTAAGTACTTGGGTTGTTTATAGAAACAGTTGAGACCCAAATGGAAGAAGAATAACGTGCAAAATGTGAATCTTGCATAATGAGTCCCATTTAAAGGTGCAGTCGCTTTCTTGGAAAAAGTCAATTAAGTGGAAAACATGTAAAAACTAAATCTAGCATTACAATTTGAAGAAAGTTATATAACAATGAATTTTCCTCTGTGGAAAATGATAGAAACTGAGGCCAACAGAACATGTTTCCAAGCTCCCACATCCCATTGTTTATATGGAAGATTTGGATTTGGAAACAATGGTAAAGTTTTCTTTGACTTACGCCAAAACACCAATTTCTCTCCCATTGTTACTTTCAAAACTGCGGCACAAACTAAGAAAGCTTTTTGTAAGCAAATATCTCTAAGCTAGTTAATGACTTATTGATTGCAGCTCTGAAGTCAACATAATCATTTTCAAATGTCACTGACCCGACTTGCTGCGACTGCACAGTTGTGGCTGCTTTAAATGTGAGTGAAATAATTGGGCTAAAAGCGTTAGAGCCAGAAAGGCACAATAAACCAATGATGGATGATGTCATGTAACTCAACGCGATTCAACAACCCGCTAAGAAAATGCTATCAATCACAGTTTGGATCCAGAGCAGAAGTGTTCTTCGCGCTCTGCAGGTCAGTCCAACCGGATCGCTTCGCCAGAGGAAAGAGGCTGAATGTGATGAAAGACTCGTTGGCTTCGAATGGAGGAACATAAGAGTGTCTGGTGTGATATATAAACAAATTGTCTTCATCCGACATTGTTGGAAGGGAAACAGCCTGCAGAGATAAAAATGACAACTCCAAGGTCAACGCGCTTCCCTCCAACTTTCTGCACAAGACTTATAACCTCATGTACTTTGACAGGAAACTCCTTTCTTAACAGGAACGCTTTTTACGTCAACAGAGCAAAACATCAACGTTTTATTTCATATTGTAAGCATGCAAGTTTTTATTTACTGGTGGAGGAAAATGGCCGCCCATGTTAATCCTGACTCACCCTGTGCAAGGTTACAATGAGCAACATATTGGCTTAAATATATATTCTTAACTTTTTCCAACTTATTGGACTATAGTTGCACTGATCGGTAAATATTTGGGTTTGAACCCGGACTTGAATGTACTGGATCGAATAGTAATTGGACCATATTGGAAAGAAACACTCGCCAAATTTCATGCAAGTGAATTTCAGATGGAAATATTTCCAAAGGAAACTTTTGGAAATTGTTTGGAAATTCAAATATCAATTTCTCATTAAAGTAAGTCCTCAGTTTATCCAAACGCTGTTATGAAAAGCTAAACATTCACCAACACCAGGCTTGTAAATTGGAATAAAAAATAAACGATTGATACACTTTTGGCTTTTTCATGTGTCAACATCTCACAAGCAAAATCCATTTGTTTTATTGGGATTTAAGAAATATTCCAACCCAAGATCAGGTGTAATGTGTGAATTTTGAAACTTTTTACAAATGTGCTTTTTTTCAATCTGAAATCCATAAATAATTCATTTGAAGTCTCCTAATTTGAAAACAGTCAACTTGTAAGTGAGCATTTCTATGTCTGATGTAAAGCTAACGCTACACAACCCTCTGAACCCAGCATCGCTCACCGTGACACACGGTGGTGGCAGCGTCATGCCTTTATGTGCTTCAGCAGGGACTGGGAAACTGAACAATTGAGAAAAACCAGTCAGAAGCAGCATGAGCCTACGCTTGATGCCCATTGCTGCCAAGGAGCAGCGTTAATAGCAAAGCTAATTTTTCGTTTAGCACTTTAGCATCTTTCTAACTTTGAAAATGCTTAGCACACTCAGCTTCCCATAAATACATTTTCCAGGTAAAATGTAAAGGGCTGGTGTCCTTGGTTGTTTTGTTAACTTTCAGTTAAATAAAGTTTGACATTTGTGTTGGGGTTTATTTCAAACTGAAAACATAAAGAAACAAAATAAAACATGGACAATAGAGAACAAGATGTAAACATAAATATAATATCCAAGGATGTCAACGAACATGGAAATTATAAAATCAAATTTCTACTGGTGCTTGAGGGTTGCAGTCTTTTAAGGGCAGTTATAATTTAGCATTAGCACATTTAGCACTAGTTTCTGCTAAATACAGCGTTGTTGCAGTACTTTGTTGTTAGCATAGCTCATGCTTATTATTAGTGCTTCAGGTTTATCAACTTAATTTGACAGAAATTCTGAACAAAATAGACTAAATTAATACATAAAATAGATTAATTTAGAATAAATGTTTCAATTTGGAGTTATAAATCATAGCTCAAAGCACATTAGCCAGCATCAGTGGAAACATTTTGGTAAAGAAAGTCATTTTTTGTTGTTAGCCCGATGCTTTTATTTATTTTTCATGGCTATTTTTGATCATAAATGCAACAGTGCAGCCGATTTTACAGTAAACGACTATTGCAAACCACCAAAGATTGAGTCAAAAGCAGTAAGAGGTAAAAAAAAAAATGCTATTGACCTCAGGGATACACAAACAATGTTTCTAATGAGAACAAACAGCTGTAAGTACAACTTATGCTTGTTGACAAAACACGGATCATTTAAATGTGAAGCATTATGCAGTTTTAATGTTCGTATTCTTTACTGGACTGATGGTTAATGCATCTGCCAGGTTTTTCTTTTTGCGTCAGCAGCTTTCGTGTTATGTTGCAATGCATTCATAAGTTTCTCCGCCACAAAACAGATATAAATAAAACACTTTGTTGTTTCATCCAGATACGTTTTTTTTTTTAACTGTAGACGTTAAAGCAGTTAAAGTTGCCAAACTTCTCTAATGGCTGAATTTTTAAACATGCCAAGACTTAATATCCAGCTGCTTTACATAAGGCTGCAGGTCGTATGTAATCAGATGATCTTGAAGGAATTTTGTTAAGATAAGCTTGGCCTGCAGCATTGTGTCTGGTTGGGATAAGCGACAAACAACCATGTGGTCAAAGTTTTCTTCAAAAGATGATTAGGGTTGCATGTCTGTCATGTTTTACAAGGTTTCCAGATCTGGTTTTATTCCAAAAATCCAGACCATCAGGAGGCTTTTACTCACGTAAAACATCAACAGATGTTAAGCTACGCCTTTGATTAATTGTGAACCACAAACTATTTCAAATTGTGACTTTGTACTGATTTCAGTTTCTTCAAAACAAACTAAATTTATCTATTTTTGCACAAACTTTTTATATAGTTCTCTCTTTTCCATTAAAAACAACAACTATAACCATTGAGAGTTGTGGTATTTTACTGGTTTCACAGAAAAATAGATGCTTCTCACTTTGCAGAAACACAAAACCTCACCAAGTATTTTTGGTCTAGCTTCTCTACACTATAAAAAAATTCTCTAATTTACGGTAAAATCCCGGCAGCTTTGTTTTTTACAGTGTAGTGCAAACATCTTAGACTCGAAATAAGACAAAATTGACGTACAAGTAACTTTTCAGCAACAAATAGACACTTTTTTGAAGTGAATAAATCCTTAATGTTGATGAAAAATGACGAGCTGCAAGTTAGATAAACTACCAGTGGAACCAGACATTTTTCCCATATTATAACTTATAATAGTACAAATTTTAATATATATATAAAACATCTTGTTCCACTTTTTGACTGCATAAACACAAAGTCTTACCAAGTAATTTTTATCCATTTTATAACGTAAATTCATCAGTAAACTTAAAATAAGACAAGACCAGCTAACAAGTAACTTTGCTGCAAGATATAAGAGCTTGTTTTAAGTAAATAATTCCTCAATATTGAAGAAAAAGTTCCAGTTCCTTTGGCAGATTATTTCACTTATAAGAAGATATTTTGTTACAAGTGGCAACTGAACTAGAACTGGAACTGCAACCGACTTAAAACAAGCTCTTATATGTTGCTGTAAAGTTGATTTTAAGTTAGCTTTGTCTTATTTCAAGCGCATTAAAATATTTGCGCTGGAAATTAGACAAAAAAAAACTTGGTAAGACTTTATGTTTCTGTCTTTGTTCTGTTTATTTCAACTAAAAATTAGAAACTCTTTTCTTTTTGTTGTTGATTCCTGGAAGCAGCTGATGAGGAATCCCCTAAAAAGTAAAACAAGCCATGTTTCCTGGAAATGTTTGGGGAGTTTTCTGGATGGAAGATGACAGCAGGCTTGAAAAGGTGCCAAGCAAGAAAGAGGGAACTCCAGAACATCTGGGTTCATACAGTTGTTGTTTATATTTATATATATATATATACACACATTTGGTCTCTTACAAAAAGGAGAAAAAAGCAATATTTCTCATAGATGAAGATTTATGCCGTGTTTTAATAGAGAGAGGAAGATGGATTATCCATCCCACTGGCCTTGTCTGAAAATAAATCCCCACCCAAAGTCTGGAATGTTGTTTTCTTAATATGTAGGTGACCATTTAGTCTGTCCATTTTCTATAAAAGAAAAGTGTCTGAAAGCAAAAGCAGAAAAACCAGATGAGAAACTAATCTCTCGTCTTTACGTTTCCACCGATCCTGCAACTCGAAAACAAATCTTTATTTCCCCCATATGCTCATAACACCCAAATCTGTTGTTTATGATGAATGTTTACAGGCAGCTAATTAAAATGACTCAAAACTATTTAGCTAGTAGATGTGTTGCACACATTTTTACAACCATCCTGACTGTACAGAGAAGATTATTTTCATGCATTCCTATGCATTTTCAGTTAAAGGGAAGTTAATTGTTCTGGGTTGTTCTGCCACTAACTGGTCCAAGTGTAGTTAAAGTTGTTTTTGCATTGACGCCTTCCCACGAAGCAACGAACCTGATTTCAAAGCTGAAGCTTCATCCAGACCCGTTTTAGACTTGAGTCAATGTTTGATCAAAGTGTAGTCCTGATTTAAACCTACAGATGGTTCCCACCGGATGGTCCGTTAGATTTGGTTCTGCTGGGCGGCTTCACCCACCTTGTAGGCCAGAGATCCCAGGAACGCCAGGATGGCCCGTTGGTCCAACGTCTCCCTTTTCACCCTTCGGGCCTGGGGGTCCTGCAAAAAAAGGAAAAACTTTACAAACACTGTTAATTATTTAATGTATGGCTGACAGAGAACAGCAGCACTGCAAAAAACAAAAGTATTTTTGTGTATTTTCTAGTCCAAATATCTTCGTACACTTGAAATAAAACTCACTTACAAGTAACTTTTCATCAAGATATATTAATGAAAAAGCACTTGTTCCTTCAGCAGATCATTTCTCTCAGAACAAAACATTTTTCTAATTTTATAAGTGAAATGGCACCAGTAGAACAAGAACCTTTTCATCAATATTCAAGAATTATTTACCTAAAACTGGCTGAAAAGTCACTGGTGAAAAAAGAAGAAGAAAACTGAGAGACTTATGTAACATTTGAGGCTCAAAATTTGCTTTATTTCACCGAACTGACTAAAAAAAAGTCTCTTTAGATTTTAAAAGTTGCAGACTCTTAGTTAAGGCAATAATAATAGAATTTTAACTTATAATTTAAACATTTATTTGTTAACTAATGTGATAAAACACATTAGTCAACATTTCTGTAGATGTTTTCTACAGAATTAGACAAAATACGACTTTTTATGAGTTGTGCCTGGACAATGAGAAACTTCTCACTGCTAAAAACAAACAAAAGTTGAACAAAATGAAGTTAAAATGACTTAATTACGCAAATATTGCCAATGAATACAATCAGTGCAAAAGCAAAATAAAAAAACTATAACAAATTATTACAAAAAGTATAAGAAATTATTAAATTAATTTAAACAGATCAGAAATAAACCTGAAATTTTACAAAATCAAGCTGAAAATTAGCTCAACTTTTTATCCATAATAAAATAAATGAAACAACAAAAACTACACATTAACACCAAGACTGAAACACGGTGATGGCAGCATCATGCTTTTTGACTGAAACACACTTAATTTAATTTATTTGATTAAAACAATGCAAATTAATCATAATTCTTGAATAAATGAGCTTTTTAGCTACATATCCTAAATGTCTTAAAACAAATAAGCAGAAAATCAACCCACTAGACAGAACATAGTTCTTAAATTTCTACAACTTTAAGAAAATAAATCCCCAAAACAAGCTTGGAAATGTTGCCAGAGTTGTCTAATAAAATTAAAAAGATAACAGAAGAGGCATTTTCCCATTACGTTACAGATGTTTTGTTCTCCAAAAAGGAAACCCTCAGGACTAAACCTTTATTTGGTGCTGATTATAATTTAAATTATAGCATGAAACTCTAGAGATCGTTGCATTTATTTATAGTTGTAACTGCACACACAGAAACATTGCTGCTAAATGAACATCAAACTGGATCCGACACCAACCTGCAGATCCAGTCCAAACGTTTGTTAGGAGATTCAGGGAGGAAAGAAGCCAAATAACGAGAGAACAAGGAAGAAAAGTCTGGCCACAATTAAAACCACATGTTCAAACAACCACAGCAGAGCTTATGGGAATACCGAGAAACTCAGGACTTGTTTTTGTGCAGTTGGTTGTCATCCGGTGGACCTGCAATTTGCAGGTTTCTGGAGCTGCCAACTGTAAGCATGCAGCATGAACAGGTTCCTGAGAACCTCGAAAACACAGTTTTCATGAAAACTAGGAAACACAAGCCAACATGAAACAAAGCTGGAACTTCAACAAAAACAATGTCCAACTGGAGTCAATGCAGAATAAAAAGATTAAATCTGCTGAATGTAGAGGAGCACAAAGTTTAATTTACAAAGTTCTGTTTTAGTTCAGTTTAATCATTTAGTTATAGTTCCTCGATCTCAACAGATACCTGAGCAGAGCCGGGAAGTTACTAGTTACTTTTACTCAATTACATTTACTTTTATGCGAGTAATTTTACAATGAAGTATCTTTAATTTCTGGATTTTCTACCTGTTGAATGAAGAACAAACATGTTTAAACCAAACATTCACCAGACAAACCTGCAGTTTTTGATAAAGTTTCATAAGTTTTTTATTGAAGGAAATTAATTTGGAAAAATTTTCTTTAGCCTGATTTTATTTTTTGTTACTTATATAAATTATTGTCATTTCTTGTCCTTAAAATACCAAAATTTCCCCTTAACTTTATATTTGAGTAGAATTTTTACCAAGTACTTTTTAACTCTTCCTGGAGTCATTTCTTGGACGGCTACGTTTTACTTTTACTTGAGCAAAAATATGCTGAAACATCACTACTCTTAGTGCTAAAAGCAGAGTACATCTGCTAAAACAAGCAGTAGTTTGAGTCCTTTTAATCTGAAACAGCAAGATATTTTTAAATAGATTATCTCCATATTTTGAATATTTCAAGATGGCCACCATTTTGGAGCTTTTTAAACCAGATATTGCCATATGATATTTCCCATTTTAATGACTATTTCGCATCATCCAATTTATCCAGCTTATACCAGAGTCTTCAGTCAGTGGCTTCTTCATATTTACCGTAACACTGACTGCTACAGGAGATCATTCCTACTCTCAGTCATCAGGATCTTCAACAAAGAAAATAGCATAATATTTTACTTTCCTCTTGGACTATCAATGTATTTTTGAATCAACTGAATTGCAAAAGTACAAATATTGCTTCAATATTTGTACTTATATAAATAGATAGATAGATAGATAGATAGATAGATAGATAGATAGATAGATAGATAGATAGATAGATAGATAGATAGATAGATAGATAGATAGATAGATAGATAGATAGATAGATAGATAGATAGATAGATAGATAGATAGATAGATAGATAGATAGATAGATAGATAGATAGATAGATAGATAGATAGATAGATAGATAGATAGATAGATAGATAGATAGATAGATAGATAGATAGATAGATAGATAGATAGATAGATAGATAGATAGATAGATAGATAGATAGATAGATAGATAGATAGATAGATAGATAGATAGATAGATAGATAGATAGATAGATAGAGCATTTTGTGAATTTTAAACCATAAAGCTCAAAGTCTTAATTCAAACAATGTCAAGTAGAATTAAAAAACAGATAGATAATGTTGCAAGAGCTTAAAATATTTTTATCAAACTAAATTAGAACTTTTTTTAAAATCTGTATTTCTTTGCTGTGATTCTTTTAAATAAAACCACCTTTAGAGTCCCACTAATTAAGAATAAAGCTGCTGTTTGAATCTCTCTGCAAAAACTCCTGTTAGTCTAAACAGACAGAACTTCATTGTGACTCTGGAGGAGCTGCAGAGTTTCCACCTCTCCACATATCCTGTTTTTATGAAAGAAACATCTTAGCAAAAGTAATCCATTCTGCTTGTAATTTGCTGCTGTCTATTCAAGGAAAACAGGAAACATGTGAAAGAAGATTTCCTGATCAGATGGGATAAAAACACAAGAAGACATTTACAAGAGAAACTGAGAATGTGTTGAAAATCCTGCGACGCTTTTGCCTTCCGCAAGGTCAGGTTACTGCGAATTAACTCATCATAACAAAGAGCTCAGTGGGATACCTTTCAGACTTTTGTCATTAAATTAACACATAACACGTGTGGCACTGAGTGAGTCGGAATGAAAATAGCGCAAAGCAGCCTAATTAAAAATAAAGAAGAAGAGACCGAACCAAAAGCAGCCGTGGCGAGAGAAAAAAGGACGGCGGGTAAACATGGATGGAGATGTGAAACTTTTCTTGGCAAAGGTGACGCAGAGCTGATTACCAATGAATGTGGCTACAGAGCTCAAACTGATGACAGGGCTGATTTGAGTTTTCATTCTGGGCAAAGCTCTAAATTTAAGCTTCAATTATTTGCAGGCTGAGGACCCACATGTGACGCGCGGACCCAAACTTCAGGGGTCCCATTTGGTTTGCCTTCAGTTCTTCGCGTTGTGTCCCCTGCCAACATTACATCATGGCATACCTTTTGATTTTAACAAGCCTGAGAAGTAATTTGTTACGCTGGTAATGAGAAATGCATTGCATCTGGAGGTCTGCAGAGACTGGAGGAGGAACACAGAGGGTTGCTTAATACTCTAGGGTTGAAATCAAAAACGTAAAATGAAGTTGCATGGTGTAGTCGCTTGCAGTCAGTCATACTCCAAACATGGCTGAGAGGCACGCAGAAACTCTCATGTTCTGATGTTATACGCATGTCTGACTTTGTAAAAGTTACATTAAACAGCAGCACAAATCAAACGCTTCAGGCATTTCAGATTCCTATTAATCAGACAGGAGACTCAACGTATCCAAATTCATTACAAAGTTAAGTCATGCGCTGTTCTCAACACATGCAACGCAGCCCCTGAGTTTTTTCACAATCATTTCCAGAGGGAACACACACATGACTTACTCAGCTGATTTTATTAAGATGAAAATCTGGAACATCTTAGAATGAGCCGGTGTGTAAAACTAGCATGTAAATTTTTGAACAATTCATGACAGGAGAGGGTTTATGTTGATGACAGTTCCTCCCAAATACCTCCATCCTCTTATACATTACTAATACTAGAAGAAACCATAAATGTTGCATTTTACAGGTTTTGTAGCATAGCTAGCAGGGGTGGGCACAGCTAACTAAATAGATAATGTGCTAACCCTGAAGTGCTAAGCATAAAATTGAGCTCAGTTACTCCTGAGGCGCTATTTAAACACGATGTTTAGGAAGGAAGCTAATGCTAAAGCACTATTTAAACACGATGTTTAGGGAGGAAGCTAATGCTAAAGCACTATTTAAACACGATGTTTAGGGAGGAAGCTAATGCTAAAGCACTATTTAAACATTGTGTTTAGGGAGGAAGCTAATGCTAAAGCACTATTTAAACATGGTGTTTAGGGAGGAAGCTAATGCTAAAGCACTATTTAAACATGGTGTTTAGGGAGGAAGCTAATGCTAAAGCACTATTTAAACACGATGTTTAGGGAGGAAGCTAATGCTAAAGCACTATTTAAACATGGTGTTTAGGGAGGAAGCTAATGCTAAAGCACTATTTAAACATGGTGTTTAGGGAGGAAGCTAATGCTAAAGCACTATTTAAACATGTGTTTAGGGAGGAAGCTAATGCTAAAGCACTATTTAAACATGGTGTTTAGGGAGGAAGCTAATGCTAAAGCACTATTTAAACATGGTGTTTAGGGAGGAAGCTAATGCTAAAGCACTATTTAAACATGGTGTTTAGGGAGGAAGCTAATGCTAAAGTGCTATTTAAACATGGTGTTTAGGGAGGAAGCTAATGCCAAAGTGCTATTTAAACATGGTGTTTAGGGAGGAAGCTAATGCTAAAGCACTATTTAAACATGGTGTTTAGGGAGGAAGCTAATGCTAAAGTGCTATTTAAACATGGTTTTTAGGGAGGAAGCTAAAGCTAAAGCACTATTTTAACATGGTGTTTAGGAAGGAGCTAATGCTAAAGCACTATTTAAACATGGTGTTTAGGAAGGAAGCTAATGCTAAAGTGCTATTTAAACATGGTGTTTAGGGAGGAAGTTAATGCTAAAGTGCTATTTAAACATTGTGTTTAGGGAGGAAGCTAATGCTAAAGCACTATTTAAACATGGCATTTAGTGAGGAAGCTAATGCTAACACACTATTTAAAGCTAGGAAGCTAAAACTAAAACATTATTTAAACATTGTGTTTAGGAAAGAAGCTAATGCTAATGCGCTATTGGTATTTAGGAGTTTAAATAGTGCATTGGCATTAACATGTAAGTCTTTGTACAATTCATGGCAGAAGATGGTTTGTGCTGACGAGTTGATCCCAAATACCACCATCCTCTTATTCATTAATAGTGTAGGGAAGCACGGCTGTAGAAGAGGCTCCAATTCTATGTCTTTTATTGCATCTTTTAGCAAGATATTGCTCCCAAACTCACACAGAAACTCACCAGATATTTAATAACTTCTTCTTTGACCGCACCAAAATACTGCAATAAAACCTGTGGGACAAAAGTACCTAATGTTGCATGTTGTTAATATCTCTACAGCTGTTGTAGATCATATCTTTAATAATGCTGTTATGTCATAAATAGGTTTCTTTTATAGGACTAAAACTCCAGTTTCTATGGTGCTCCATAAAAATAAAACAAAACCCTCTAATAATGTCAAACTTCATGTGTCTGACCAAAGTAAGTTATTTGCTTTCCTTCAGATCTTTAATTTATTCTAATCCAAAATTTGATGATGAGACATCATCCTAGATTATTAGATGCTTAATGCCAAAAACAAAATGGAAAGTAGTGAGGAAAACATCCTGAGTTACATGATTGAAGAACTGAGAGAAGAATCTACAGCAGCAACGAGTTACCGAACTCTGATATGATATTTACGTTTTTACAGTGGTAGTAAAGCTAATTTAGATTTACTTAGATAACCTGTTACTAGATGCTTAGAAGTAGCCAAAGTTTCAAGGTAAAAGTAGACTTTACGGGAACTTATTTTTAAAAAATAATTACATTTTGCAAGTTTTTGTACTTCCATGTGGGTCTCCAATGTATCTAAAAAAGCCAAAGCGCTAAAAAAAAAAACACACACATGGCAATAGGATCATGTTTTGTGGTGTCTGGAAAATGAGCCGTTTCAAAAACTTCCTGATTGTTAAGTCAAATTTGACAGACACTGTTCTGTAACCTAGCAACCCCACACAAGCGCAATCCTGCTACCTAGCAACCCAAGCACAGCGAGAGCACATTTAGTCAGCTGGTTTTACATGCGCTGTACAATGGCTGCTGGAACAGACAAGTGTTCACAAACAACAGGCTGTTTTCTTGTTGGTTGCTCTGCTTTTCAAATATGAACGTTTGCATAATTTCTATTCTGTTTGCATCTATTTTCATGTGTGAGTGTAAACGTTGAGTTTGGGGGCGTGGCGAGCAGAAGATGATTTAGAGTGAAAAGAGGCCGTGAAACATTTCATTCTGAAAGAAACTCTTGTCTGAAATCTCATTATCTAAGACTAATTTTGTGCAAAAAGTGAATGAACATGTTTAATATCTATTATAACCTCTTCAGGGAAGTATAATAGGTCACCTTTAAATGCAAGATGTATTGTGATTTTAACATAAATTCAGGTCTTAAACTCTGGACATAATCGGATGTTTGCTCACCTTCGAGAGTGGTGAGGTTCTTCAAGGTCATGGAGTGCTCCCAGTCCCTGAGCCGCAGATCCTCGGTGATCGAGTTCAGGATCTCCATCTCGTTCCTCAGCTGCGTCTCCGTGTGGATGTGCGTCACCCATAAACTGCTGGTGTCGTCTGTGATGTTGTGGATCTGTATCTGAGCACACATAATGCTCATTGTTACAGACCTCCGAGGCTTTTTCAGCGGCAGCAAAATCTATTTCTTTCTTTTCATAGTTTCTAGTGCAAATATATTAAAAATATGACAAAACTAACTTTCGAGTAATTTCCAAGAAGATATAGGAGTTTGTTTTTGGTCAATAAATCCCTAATACTGACGAAAAACTTCTCGTTCCACTGGCAGACTATTTAACTTCTATCAAGACATTTTTCACATGTTATAAAACTTTCAATTAAAAAGTTAAAATATCAATAAATAGACTCAAGATTTTGTGAGTGGTTTTTGCAATCAAAATTATAGATTTTGTTTTGTCAATTTAGAAATGTTTGTAAGGAAATGTTCTATTTATGCTAATGTATTATATTAAATGTGACTTTTAATTGCTTGCCATATACATTATAGACTACAACTCCACATCAAGCAAGGCTTAGGCTGCTGTCAATGTTTTTGACCAATTTTGAGAAAATTTGCAGTAAAATCAGATAAAAATGTGTAGATTTGTTGATTTTGTGTGAATTTTGCAGATTTGTGAAAAACGGAAAGTACTTACTGACGTAATTTGGAGTGTAAAGGGCCATGTGAAAAGCTACGGCGGGCCAGATTTGGCCCCCGAACCTCGAGTTTGACTCATCTGCCAATGGAATAAGTACTTTTATCATAAATAATAAAGAACTACTGACTTAAAACAAGCTTCTATATCTTGTTGAAAAGTTACTTTTAAGTTAATTTTTTCTTATTTCAAATGTATTAAGATATTTGAACTAGAAACTAGACTCAGTAAGATTTTGTGTTTTTGTTATTATGCAGTTTCTTATTCTCCAACCTGCAGGTCTTTTATTTTAAGGTGATGAATGCTGATGTCGTTGGTGAAGGTGTGATTTACAGCTCCAACAGTCCAGTTGACTTCGTCTAGTTTCTCTCTGAGTCCATTCAAATGTCCTGATGCGTCCCTGAAACACAACCAGAAACGGTTAAGACTCGTCACCGTTTGACCTTTCTAACAGGTCAGATTCTGGGACGTGACGGCGAACCTCAGCAGGACGTCGTGGTCGCGGAGCCACCTGGAGGTCCGGGCCACGTCCACGCTCAGGACGGTCAGGTTCCTGCTGGCGGAGCTGCTGAAGGAGGACAGACGGTCGTCCAGCTGGACCAGGTAACCTTCTGACTGCAGAGAGTTCGCCTGGATGCTCCTCAGATCGACCTCCAGACCCTGGAGGGGGAGGAAGAGAGGATGAGAGGGAGGGATGAAACAAGATGGAGGGAGAGAGGGATGACTTGATGAACTAATGGATGGATGAACGGATCTCTCTGAACACATCTGAACAATATTTCTGAACGTCGATCACGTCGTCGTTATTGTTTCACCAGAGAGATGAAGGAATTAACTTCACCTATCCACCTAATCAATCAGTCAAATCGGATCAATCTTCTCTCTCCTGTCGGTTCTCCAGCCGTTTCCTAACAGATCGTCTCTAACAGGTGGAACCGTCGGATCAGCACCAGGTGAGGCGGTTCTGTCACCTTGATGAGGATCTCCAGCCGCTGCAGCCAGCTGCTGTGGTTCTGGAAGATGCTTTCCAGCTTCCAGATGTTTTCCAGCAGGTCGGCCTGCGTGGACGCCTCACCCAGTGTCTGCTGGAGGACGCCGGCGTGGTCCGACATCCGAGTCACGTTCTCCATCAGAACCTCCTGGCGCTGGGAGGAAACCTGGGACCGGGACACTAGGGACAGGAAGAGAGAAGAAGAGACTCAGACTCGGATGGATGGATGGATGGATGGATGGATGGATGGATGGATGGATGGATGGATGGATGGATGGATGGATGGATGGATGGATGGATGGATGGATGGATGGATGGATGGATGGATGGATGGATGGATGGATGGATGGATGGATGGATGGATGGATGGAAGAGTTGTTGACCTTAAACTCTTTTAGAAATAAATCAGAGTTTCTATCTTTGATCCATTTTTCTTCTCTCCCATATTAAATTTTCCTTCCCAGTTTCTCACTGGGAACAAATCGAGCCTCTGAAAGCGGCACCAATATGCAATCAACGCCACAGGTTTGCAAATTTCTCTCCTGAGGATAATTTAAGCTGCGCAAAGACGATTATTCCAAGAACAGAAATTCTGCTCAATATTTCAGCCAGTGATCCAGATTATATTTCTTAACAACAGACTGTGTGGGAGCCAAAAACTGCAGCTTATTAATGCAAAGTTATAGAAACACAATCTGTTCCTTACACTGCAAAAACACAAAAGCTCAACAAGTAACTTTGGTCATTTTAAATATGTCTATTTTTAAACTGATTTTTTAAAGTGCAATCAGAGGCAAAACAACATTTTAATATTACATTTTAATGTGAAATGATTTCTTACACACATCCAGCAGAGATATTACATTTAGTATAAATTTTGTTTTGCTAAACTCAACCTAAACTGGGATATTATTGCAATTACTGGCAAAAAAATGACTGTTTTTACCAGTTTGAATCATTTTTTTATTGCTGCCACAGGCAGTGAGTCCACTGGGGCGATTTCACTTATTTTTGCTGATTTCATCATCAAAGAGCAATTGTTTCAGGCCAAGTTGTTATAAAAACCATGTGGTTGCTGCAATTTGTTCAGAGGCTGGAATTTCTAGTCCCTGCAGATCCAGAAAAGAGCTGCATCACCACATCTACCGCCACGAGAGCATGAAGTTAGCATCACGACCTCAAGGTTTTCACTCTGCGCTTCAGTAGAAGCTTTTTGCTCTTCAGTCTGAAATAATCCGGGCCAGATTTGAGAAGACGCTAATGTAGAAGTCATCAAACGTAGCAGTGAAACTTTAAAAGCAGTAAAATATAAGTTCATGAACGTGTGTTTGAGTTTTAATGATCTCAAACACGAGTCAGCAACTTTATAATCTAAAGCAGGGGTGTCCAAGCTGTGGCTCGGGGGCCATTTAAGGCCCTTGGATTGATTTTTTTGTGGTTGAAAAATGATAAAAAATTTTTCTTAAATGGAATACGTTAAGTACCCACAAAATATATGTGCATAACTAACTTTTATAATAAATAGAACCACGTTAATCCAGAGAGTTCATTAAACTCGGCTAAATAAAGCAAGCGTTTGGAAAGTGTGGTGGAAAAATAAGGTCACATCTGCTAGTCGTATTGTTATATGTTTTTTATTATTTCTTCTATGGTCCCACTAAGATAATGCTATTTGGGTTACATGTAGAAGGTTGGACGTTTTTTCCCACAAAGATCCTTTATCTGTGCATAAAACTGACGTGTCGTCTTTGCGTCCAGACTGGCCTCATTATTCAATTTATGAATAAACCTGATTGAGTGATTTTACCTGAACAGTGCCTGGAAATAGTTTTTTTTTTCCATGACAAAAAGAAAGTGACCCAAATCCTGCATTTAGTAACTAAGAACTAAGATTTGTTGAACTGAGAGTAAAATAATGTGAAAACTACAAGCTTTCAGAAAATTTGCAAAATCCTAGTTAAGTGTTGAATAACATTCCTTTCCTAAATATATATATATCTGGCTTCTTTGTTTGATTAAGTTTAGTTTTTATTTTGCATGCTGGGAAAACCACAGCAGAATCTCCACAAACAAAACCTGATGTCAAGAAATTCTAGAAGCAAAGCAATAATGGGAATCATGGCTTCAGAAATGCTATTATTTGGTAAATAATTACACTTTAATGCAAATTTGCACTAGAAGTTGCATTAAAAACAATTAAAAGTATCAACCTTGCATACAATGTCATTATTGACTGAATGACACTTCATGAAGAATCTATAGCAAAAGCTACAAAAAATCTAAAAAAAATGATGGAAACTCTTCAAATATCACCTTTATCAGAACAGTGAAAGTGACTCTGGTTGAAGAAAAAAGGCTAAAAAATGGGACACACAACGTTTTATGCAAGCCGATTGTGGATCTGTGGGATTGTAAAGTTTCTGTCTCCCAACTGCAGCCAAAACTTTTGTTGTCCGTTTTCCAAAGAGCAACAATATCTTAACCACATTAGTTCTGATTTCACAGCTCCGTGTTTTCTGAGGCCTCCTGTGAAGCCTGCAAGCAGCAGGGGACAGTTTATCCATTGATGTATCAAATGTTAGCGGAGCGGGCCAAGCCAGCAGCTGGGCTTCAGTGTGTCCTGTGGCTGGATCCAGAACTTTCTGCCCATTTCGCTTTGCAGTGATTTTCCATCTTCTAAGCCCGTTCACTTAACACCATTTGCTTCAAACGCTGACATCAAGCTACCAAACAATGTCCATCCACTAATCGACCTTATTTACAAACAGATCAAATTAACAGACAAATATTCAGGTGACCTTTGACCTACAAAGCCTGCATAACAAAAGAAAACCTATTTGGTTATTTTCAGTTGTGGGCATACTTTGGCTAATCAGCTAACAGCACAGCTAGCGCTTTGCTAACTTTGCTAAAGTTTAGCGCACTTAGCTCTTGCTTAAATAAAATGTAAGTTTTATTGATAAGTTCAAAGGTGTCAGTTTACGTGGATGCTTCTTTAAACTTTAATTTCAATAAAGTTCAACATGTTGAAGCTTTAAGAATTCTTCAAGTAGCTAGCATTAGCTTCTCTAAATACCATGATAATGTGGCGCTTTAGCATTAGAATTTAGCAGAACTACACTGCAAAAACACAAAATCTTACCAGGTGATTTTGGCCTACTTTCTAGTGCAAATTTCTTAATACGTTTCAAATGAGACAAAAAGTCGCTTCTTAGCCAGAAACAAGTTTGTTTTAAGAAAATAATTCCTTATTATTGATGAAAAAGTACTTGTTGGTTGGTAGATAAATAAATTTATAACATGGGAAAAATGTCTTGTTATGAAGTAGAACATTTTCATCAATAACAATCTACTTAAGCAAACCTCTATATCTTATAGAAAAATTACCTGTAAGTCAGTTTGTCTCATTTAAAATGTACTGAAATATTTGCACTAGAAACTAGACCAAGAATAGTTAGTAAGATTTTGTCTTTTAATATTTATGAGTAACATCTTTGAGTAAGGGTAATATTTATGAATCATGCTTAGGATTAGCGTGACTAGCTTTATTTTTTTTTATTTTTACGTTCAAACCGCAACAACAGAAACTGGTGGACTCCATCAAAAACAACTCACTGAGTTGCCCCCGAAGTAACCAAATATATATTTTACTAATCAAGATCAGTGGCTTCATGAGCTTAAGCATATTAAACATATCTCATCTTAAGATTTTGGATAAACTGATTCCGAAATGTTTTTCGCTTTAGAGTGCTTCCTTTTTAAATAAACACCCAGGCTGAAGGGCACGGCATCTTTCAAAAGTACAAAACAAGAACCAATTGTTCTCCTCGTTTATGTATTCATGTGTTTTCATGTGCGGTTTATTTAGCTGAAGAAATAAGAGATCTGGATTTATCGCCACCTGTTTCCCTCCTAGTGGTTTGCTGCCCAGTACCAGACACACAAATGCACAAACAAACCTTGGACTGGGAGGATTTTAATCATGCCCTGGTTTGTTATGGTGCAAATCAACTACACCTAATTTACATATTCTTACCTCAACACTTAAACCCCTAAGTTTTACAAAGAGAAAAGCTCCTTTTCCATCTGGTCACTGCCAATGTCAATCAGCACACGCACACACACACACACACACACACACACACACACACACACACACACACACACACACACACACACACACATTTTCTTACAGCGGCTCGCTGGTCAGTGTCCTGGTCAGAACATTAAAGGAGACAGAAATGTTTAAAAGCTGCATTCCTTTGAGGTGTCTTCAATCATCTCTTTATCTTTTTCAGAGTGTGTGTCTCACCCTTTTTAGATTTATGATGCAACACATGCTTCCTTTTTGGAGTGAAAACATCTCCATAAATCAGGTCAAAGGTTAACGTTTACTGATAAGGATTCAAAGTCTTCACAAAGTGCAGGCCAGGGGGAATCCCATGTCACATTTCACCCTCAATCACTGAGCCCCGAGTTCTGCACATGGTCCAACGGTTTAATATTTCCAGGTCAAATTTAGGAGTCTTCAAAACCTTTCAGTGTATAAAATTTAAGACCAAAAAAACAATAAACATATTGGATGATTGGAGGATCATTTGAGCTGGCAGCAGAAGTGACCAAACAGGCCAACTTACATTTTATGAAGACATTTTAAGGCCTTACATTAAGACGAATCAGTTCAAGACTTTTTAAGGATGGGCGGAAACCCTGATATCCGTCTACGACGTGAAGCGAGGACAAAATGATAAAACTAACCAAACTTACAAGTGGATGTTTTAACTCAGGACGTTAAATGAGTGAAGAAACTAAAGTATTATCCTAAGTTAAAATATTTTATGGTCACTACAACCATTGAAATCTCAAGTTCGATGTCATTAAAAAAAATTATATTAGATTTAAGAATCGGAAAAATAAAAGCTGAATGTCAACTGCGGCTGTTACTTAACAAGTTGTTGCTAGGCAACCACAGAATGAGTGAGTTGCTAGGTAACCAAAGAGTGAGTGAGTTAGTTGCTAGGCAACCACAGAATGAGTGAGTTGCTAGGTAACCAAAGAGTGAGTGAGTTAGTTGATTCCACTTATTAATATCGTTTCACAATTACAGTCAGGAAACTACAAAGTAATGCATGGTAAGCAGCAAACCCTGCCCTTAAAGCTAGGGTTGAATTTAATGTGTC